ATCCATCACCTTTGCATAATGATGGATTCAGCTCTGGGTTATGATGGTGGTACGAACTGCACAACTACGCCCAACAACACAAAAATATCATCACAAATATTTGCCTTTTTTTAAATGAGCAGGATTGTTTTCATTCTGCATTAACACCATAATTACTAAAAGCTCGTCCTGTCCTAGTTACGTAAGATGTCTTTTTGAAATTGGATTACTGCAGGATGAGCCATTTATTTTCAGAAATGGGGGTGTTGGGGGCAGTTTTTTATTTCAGTGTCTCTGCCATAGCATCTGCGCCACAAAGCTATCCTCCCCTATTGAGCTCATACTGTATACACACCAATAAACATGATTTGCATGGCAGACTGTAAAATATGCAAATGACAAAAGAGATATGGAGGGGGGAATGTTTATGCTGTGAGCTCTCTGTCTCACACAGGCCACCCCCTCTTAAACAGAGGCATCTACCTTCCACGTCCTTCATATTTGCAACACACACACACACACACACACACACGCACACACAAAAGCAAACTCTCAACCATTTCTTCCAACATGTCCTCAAACCTGGACCTTAACCTAAATTTGTGTAATCAATGTCGTCTCTCCATCACTATATTACAACAGTCATCCTGTAAGTCTACAGTTGTGTATTACTATGGCCCTGTTACCTGGCATCAACAGGCATGTTGGGTGATCTGGGTCTCAGTTAGTCAGTTAACACTTGGCAATGGAAAGTGTCTTCATGCACATGATGATTTATGATCAGATTTCACGTTCATCATAACTGATTGCAGAGACAAAATGTTTTTTAGTTTGTAATGGAGCAAACTACACTGACTGAATATTTTCTGTAGGGCCTTGTTTTTGAAATGTTACGATATTTTGCAGACAAAGCCAGATGAAGCAATTTGTACAACTTTTTTTTAGAGGAAGTCAGTTGAGTAAATGGTCTTTGAGTGTGGCACAGGACACATTCACATTCACAGAGCTAAAAACACATAGGCCATATGCACAGATCACAATCCACCTCTGAATGTGGTCCGAGCAGTCGGATCATACTGCTTCCCTGCATGTGTCTTGGTTGCGTTCACACTTCGAGCTGTCCACTTGAACACTGTGTCAGAGGATTGGACAGTCAGGGACCTCACTGCCATAATATTGTTGAGACCTGAGATCTAACTGACTCAGATGTTTAATGTATGTATGAAGTCGATGAAGGTTGAAAATCTGATGGAAATGTGCAGAGCCAGACGATATTGGCTTTTTTAAAGCTGGTAGTGATATTAATATCTGAGAGTTTAATAAGTAGATAATGATTAATCGGTCAATATTCATATTTTTATAAAACCACAATGATTCCAATGGCAATCCCATAAGAAATAGCTAATTGTGACCAAGAAATATTAAAAAGGATATAAACAAACTCGTCAGTGGAATTAAATGAACAAGCTGTATGAACATTACCACAGACATATCTCTGCCATGTCTCTGCTGCAATTTCTTATGGCTCATAAGCCGTCATTTACTCCAACTGTCAATAAACTGATATGATCATTCATTATGTTTCTAATGTCTAAAAATAAATTCAACTAAATAAATTCAAGACATAATAATGTTTAACTGCATATGTTTACTTTTAGGCCAAACTAAAAAACTAAGATAGGATTGGTTCCTCCAATGTGATGTTTTTGGCGTGCATAGGTTTTTGACTCTGTTCTGTGACCATGAAGTTTCAATAATTTATAGTCTCATTATAACCATATTACCACTGCTCTGCTGGTGCCATTTGTTGCTTAAAAAATGGCCTGTTCATGGATTATTAACTTCAACAAGTCAGGATACAACTAACCTGGAAAGTCAGGTTTAAGGACTGTAGCAACTGAAAAACTCCAAAATGAATGTTCCTAGTTTATTCACTTGTCACGATGGAAAAACGGGGTCTATAACTTCCTGTTGAGCCTATTTTTTTGCATGGTGTTTTACGTAAAATAAATTATTTTCTTAATTCGAGTTCTATTTATTTGGCTTTTTTTTGTTTCTTTTTATGTGTAATAATGGAATCATATTTTCGTACATTTTCATATATCAGTTAATATTTAAGTAAGCTTTACTCCCCAATATCGGTATCAGACCCCAAAAATCCATATTAGTCGAGCTCTAGTGATCACACATCTTTACCCTGATCTCTTCTTGGTCACAGCCTCGTTACATGGGATGCATGGGAGTATTTAAAAACCCTGCAGTTACTTAGTTTGCATCCCCTCAGTTCCAGCTGCTCACTGTAATTTGCTCTCATTCACCTGACACTTATCAATACACCTCACTCTGAGCCCATTCATGTGTGTGTGCATGTCCTGTATGTGAGTGCAGCTTTACATGGATGTAGAAAAGAAGGGTACGCACATATTAACATGCATGCATACACACAAACATGCACATGCACACACACACACACACACACACACACACACAAGCGTAGCAGCAGCAGCCTCTGTGACCCAGGCCGGGCAGCTCCATGCAAAGTCAAGCGTGTTCGTCCTGAAGACTATCAGCTCTCCGGGGAGAGAGGCCATCGAGCGGCATTATCGACATTATAGACGCCTCAGCCTGGAGATAGGCTTCACATCGATCCCCTGATTAATTACTATCTGCAGGCAGCAGCAGGATGAGGGGGAGAGAAAGAGAGAGAGGGAGGGGAGAATGATAGAAAATGGCGAAAGGAGGGAATGAATGAAATCAGAGCAGGGAGAGAGGAGGGAGAGTACACCTTGTACTATCTATGAAAATCAGCTAAAGGCTACACAGTAATCTTCCAGGTGGAATATTATTTATTGATATATAGGTAGGCAGGAACGCTTATCGTCACTGCAACCACCCCCGAACACACGGCCAAGGACAAAATGAAATTCACACATTACTGGGGTAGAAACAACTTGCAAAGACGAGTAGAGGACACTGAAACAGCCACCCTCGAATCCCCGAGCACATTATACTCAACACACTGCAAATGAGAGTGAAAATAATTAGAAAGAAAAAAATATCTATATACATGTAAAAACATCCTGGACATTTACTCCAGTCTTGGTGTGCATGGTTAACTTCACTGGCACAAATGGAACTAGTGTGGACAAGCGGGCAGAGCTGCGAGAATTAATGAACTTTAGTTAGATCCTTTGGGCTACACACAAGAGACTCCCAAGAGGCTGCACAGCCCATACGTCAATAAGATGTTGCAACGTGCAAGCATCAGTCAGGACAATGTGACTGCTCTGAGTGGCTGGAGCATTTGAATGGCAGATTGAGCCATTTTTTGTTGACATTAACATTGGGTATCATTTTTTTCCTCAAAACACTGTACTTTAAAAAAAGATGGACCAACGCAGGATAACAACATTGCAGGTTTTATTTTTACAGCTGGGTTCAGCTTCAGTTCCAAATGCTAAAAGTCGGACTAACTGCTGTTGAAGCAAACACTCAAATGAGGCGCTGCTCAGTATGTTAAGATCCGAACTAATAAAGTCGCCTCACAACAATTGGGTTCCTACCTGAGCTCCACCAGGGCCTTTCTCTGGGGATGTTCTTCCTGTGCCTGTAGGGTTTTTTCTCCAGGTGCTTTCAAACCTACCTCGGTTGGTCCTAAACTTCTGACTTTTTAGTTTAATTTGAACCAACATAACAGTTGTGAAAGGTGCCACAGTCCATACCAACTCACCAAAATTGAATCCGACCAAAAGAGCGGGTCCTGATCAAGTTGAACCTTCAGACTTTCCAACCAATCATGTGAAGTTTCAATGGACTTTATTATAAAAAGCTTGCCAACTTGCTAACACGCCAGCATCAGATACATTCCTGTCAACATACCAATCAATGTCAAGTATAGATAGATGAAGTCCACATAGGTGCTCAGGACAGCACACAGGTATGTCATACATCAAATATTTACAATGTAAGCCAGACTTGAACCGTGATGGGGACCATTGTCCAGACTTTCTTGTGTGAAAACACCCTCACTCTAAACCCTCAGGAGTGAATGGGAGTGTGGATGGTTGTTTGTCTCTATAAGTCAGTCCTACGATACACTGGTGACCTGAGATGGTTGTAGCCCACCTCTCCCCCCAATATCGAATGCGATTGGCTCCAGCCCCACCACCCATGACCACAAAAGGGATAAGCAATAGCTAACGGATGGATCACCTGATTCATGCCAAACCATAATATTGACAACTTGCACTTCTTTCCACACGCGTCCAAGCAAAATGTGACAGTATATTGTGCAAACAGACCCACGTGACAGCAATTAGATTACAACTACACTACTATTGATTCATTTCATAGCGATTATAAAAAAAAGACAATAGCTGCTGAAAATATAGTGGGAGGAAATTCTCCCAGCGTCAAAGAAAAGCTTTGAATTTGAAATAAAGTTGTGTTCTACCTTCCACCCACTCAACTCACCCAACAGGAACTTTAAAGCTGTAGGCGTAAAACGAGAGAAAGAGTTGTGCTGCATGGGTAATGAACTGATAATTGGCTATCATGCTAAATATCATCAAGCATACGAGACAAAAACAGAATTATTTAGCTCTGCTAGTTGGAACATTAAAAGAGGAGAAAACCCTCTCGTTTAATATTTTATATGGGGGAAACGTATTCACTAAAGGCAAGGAAGAGTTTTGGTGGTTGTTGTTGCTGTTATGTCGTTATCATCATTTGTGACATTGAAGACGTCCAGTGAAAGCGAGGGAGACAAAGTGAGATATTCACATGGGGGAGGGATGAAGTGAACGCGAAATAACCTCAATATCGCTTTGTGGTGGAGGGGAAAAAAGGAGGAGGAAGTGTAATCTAAGGGCAAAATAGTGAGTTGCTGCTAATGTGAAGGAAGCGATCAGACAGTACAGGAGACGCAGGAACGTCACTAACAAGGTCAGTGACGACACCGAGACACGCATGCATTTGTGTATGTGTGTGTCGGTGCAGTGCAGTTTTTCAATCCCACTGACCTGAAAAGCTCTGTTAACGCTGGATCCACAGGCACTGAGAGAGAGAGAGAGAACGATTATGAAACAGGGCAGACTTGAACATGCTTAGTCCACAGCTTCTTTGTACAACACATGTGAACCCATCTGTGCAGGTTTAACATAATTTAAAAATTAAAACACTCTATGAAATCAAATGTAATGGTATTTGTTTAGCCCATACTCGCAAAATCTCACAGATTGAAGAGATAAACAATCTGTAAAGGGTGCAACATCCTCCATCCTCCATCCCTAACCCTCAGGGAAATAAAGACATCAGGTTGTGTGTGTGTGTGTGAAGATGTCAACTAAAAATGTGATTATTCATTTGTCTTCATTTAGTACTTCAAAAGATAGTAAATACAAAATGCAGTATATATATATATTTAATAATGTTTAGTTCATATAGTTCAGTTTTTCAGTGTATGGAGGGTAAATGCCTACAGCCTTTAGATAAATGATGTGTTCTGTGACTGTGATAGGAATTAAAATTGGTGAAAAAGAAAAGAAGGAAAGAATATCGATATGTATTAGTCAGTTTGGTGTGATACAAATCCTTATTTTGATATTTAAATTGTATCTAACAAATATCAAGACTATTGATGACATACACTGATGAGTATTAGTATTTTGAATGTAAATAAAGAAAAGTAAAAGCCGTTTGGATGATTTTAAAGAGACAGAATGTGGTTTTATTTCAGTGTTGTTCTAATCAGTGTTTTGTTTCCAGGCCACTGTTTTTAATTTTCTTATGTTGTTTTAATGTTTCAGTGATTTTTTAATAAACTTTTATTCTTTTAAAATATAAGTGGCCCCTCAAGTAAAATATTGATGAGTGAAATAGTTAATATAACTCTTATAAACATAATGAGTTTCTCCAAAGATGAAGATTGGGATTTTGATTTTCAGACATAAGACATTTTTCAGCAATACAGGAACATTGTGTTTTCTAGCGTGGGAGAGAGAGAGCTAACAGAGACGTAGGCTGCGTTTGAAATCACTCCTCATGATCTATACTTTTTTTTTCAGCCATTTTTATTTGAGGGTTTGAATTATGAGCATGAAATTTATGCACCGCATCACGCCTTCAACTCTTCCTGCAATGAAACAAAGAAGTGTACAGCGTATACTTTGGAGGATCTAACACAGAGGAGGAGGTAAATGTAAATGTAAATGTTCTTTATTTTTACAGCCCTTTACAACTGTCCTTTCGGTGAACCAAAGTGCTTTACAATTGCATGGTAAAATAAAAACAATAAATGCAGTAAAGTAGAATAAAATAAAATAAAGTAAAACAATTTAAATAAAATTAAAGTAAAAAATAAAAATAAAAGTTTCACCTCTCTACTGGGTATTAAAAGCCATCTTAAATAAATACGTTTTTAATCTTGATTTGAAGAGGCCCAGGTCAGAAATAACACGCCTTTCTGCGGGGAGCTTATTCCAGAGCCTGGGAGCAGCAACACCAAAGGCTCGGTCACCCCAGTATTTGTACCTTGACCTGGGCACTTCCAACAAAAGTTGGTTGGATGACCTCAAAGCTCTACCAGGATCACGAATAGTTAAAAGTTCAAATATCAAATAAGATGGGGCGAGGCCATTAAGAGCCTTAAAAACAAACATAAGTTTAAAATCAATTCTGTGAGCTGAGTGGATGATGGATTGATTTACGATAGGGTTGTAAAAGACGACCCCAGTGCCAAATCCTCCACTCACACTTTTTGCTGTCTCTCCCTCTCTTGCTCCGTGACAAGCAGAGGACGGCCGTAACTCAATCAAACGAGGGCCTTGTGGTCGCAGCCTTCGGACAAGGTGCTTGATCCACACCATGTAGGAACAACAGTCACCACCTTTTCTTCCTCGTTTGGTCAAAGATGTTACAGACTTTCTGAAGTTCGAGGTGATAAAATATGGATCAGGACGTTCCTCTGATGGACACCTCTTTTTTAGATTCTCTAAACCTGTGAGGGTGGACAGGGCGGCTGAGTGAGTGTCACGGTTTGTGAGCCTTTCAAGGTTTGTCATAGTTTTAAGTGAGGAAGAGAGGTGGCTGTATTTACTGTAACTACTGCAGTGCCCTTTCTAAACCTGCCTTATTGGAATGGGCTGTTCTCTAGGTGTGTGTTAATGCTCCAGAGCTACTTCAGAATTATTTCCTGTCTTGAGTCAGTCATCCTCAAACAGTTCCACAATAAACTGCCACTTTTCAATGTTTGAGATTTTACACAAACTTTGCATTCATCCTACCTGGTTTATCTGCAGTGAAGATTTTATAGTCAACGATTAAAAAAAAATAAAACAGAATTTGCTTTATTACTGCTCACATGTCTGGTGTATATATAAGATTGAATTCTTAAACCCACTGCTGTTATTTTTTCATATATTAATTGTCAACTATTTCAGAGGTCTGTTAAACAATTGGCGCTATCTTCAGACCCAAGTTCACAACTTTTCAAAATAAAAGCTCTGTAATTCAGGCCGATATAAAGGATTGCAGCGACCAAAAAATTGAATTAACTTAGAAGACAACTTGCTTAAGAGGAAGTGATTCTATAAATGCTGCTGACATAATGGATATAGTATACAAATAATCTGGTGGCAATTGGTGCTGCTGTTTATTGGAGGACGTAAAAGTTCAACTCGGTCCACAGACTGAAGGCACTGACTTTAACAGAGCACTGGTTGCCTGTTTATTAAATCTTGATAAATATTAAACACATCTCATGTCCAATCACACAGCTTATTTACAATACAAATATAAAGTGTGAAGCCAAAGGTATTTTTCCTTGCAGTAATAAAGGCGTAAAAAGAGGAGTGTCAGTGCTTTCTCAGGTAAAACCAGAAGTTACCTGTTCTTTAAAAGAAATGTTCCATACTGTGTTTTCATTCTGCACTTTATACGGCTTTTCTGTATAATACCGTATGTCACTGTGGTTATTTAACTGTTGAATAAATCTCTTAAAACGTGCACTGTGATTACATGTCTAGGGGAAAAAACAAGAGAGCGATGGAGAACGCAAGAGCAGAGAGAAATGGCAACTCGAGTGTGACAGTCTGCGATTTGTGCAGTGGTGTGTGTACAGTATACGTACGTGCCTGTGTGTGTGCATGTGTGTTTTTGTTGGGGGTGTGAAGGTCACCCTGAATGGCATTGCCGCCTGTATGTGTGTATGTGTGTGTATCCACGCAGATACCTTTGGAGCGTGTTCGATGGCGCTTATCGTCTGCATCCAGCTCCATCTGCAGAGAAGCAACAAACAAGCTGTTCAACACACAACAGTCAGCACCGCAAAAAATTTGTCTTTCATTCGGGTTCGGATTCTTTCAGCTTCACAGTACTTTTTTCTTCCTCCTTGTCGAACAGTATTTTCACACCTGATGTTGCAACGCTTAGACGCCACATGTCATGCAGGTGTGTGAGTGACTGTCATGATTTGTATGAATGATGTGAGGAATTTAAACACAAAGGAAAATCATCACTTCAAATGCTTTTTACTGATACATATTCCTGCTGAATTGACATGGATGCATCTCCTCCATCAAAACATTATTAATGTTAAGACTCATCTGTTTTGTCATTAAAAAGGCACATGATATTATCAATGACCTCACACATGTCCTCTATGATGAGCGGTTTATATTGTATATAAAACTAACAGGAAGAAGTTTGGGTTTATTCCATCAGACTGGTGAACAGTCACAGGGCGAGGCGTGCTCAGTTTACCTTGATGAACGCACTTGCACTTTAACCTTATCCATTATTGTGATTGTTTTTATTTTATAAACTTCTTTTTATTTTTGTCAGAATTAGTCTTGTCCCTTATGTGCAGCTATGAATTGTCTGTGCACTTTTGTTTTTTCTCCAGCTTGCCTTGAATTGGGGGACGAATAAAGTTTTTGGAATTTAAATGAACTGATTATTCGGGTTGTGTATTGGCATGATATGATAGGGTACAATACGATACGTTATGATATAGGGTATGATATGATCTTATCCGGAATAATATGGTACGATATGATATGATTAAATACGATACAATAGGGTACAGTACAATATGGTATAATATGATATGGTACAGTACAATATGGTATAATATGATATGGTACAGTACTATGCGGTGTAATATATAGAGTACGAAAAAATATGATATGTATTATATGATATGGTGCAACACAATGTGTATGTGTCACGATACAAAACCGACACAAAATGAATAACTGTTGCCACAAATCTTTGATGATTAATTCAATATCAGTGTTTTTAAGAATCGATACACAACATCACAATACTCAACTGGGACAGTGTTTTCTTGCACCACTAATACTTATGAGACGTGTTCTCAGAATTTTAGGAAACAACCAAAAAACCAACACACATTTTATCATATTTGGTGAAGACATATTCACAGTTGAACTTATCAATCCAGTGATTTGACGACAAGATCTCCACTACCATTCCAGACATGTTTAAGTCAATTCTTTACAATGTTGTAAACTTGACATTTTAAAATGATGTGATACATACTCAAGGATGGAGCCTTTAAATCTTGGTTCGGATCCACATCAGGGATCAGATCCAGGAATCTTTAACATTGTGAGATAGTCCGTTTAACATTTTCATTTATTTCTCAGAGAGTAATTCATGGATCTGGCACGTTTAGGGGACTGATATTTATAAGTGTGTGTAATGAAAAAAAATCTGAATTTAAATGTGGTTTCTTAAGGAGACTTTGGGCCGTGGAGGTATACACTTTACAGTTTATTTTTATTTCAGTAAATCCCTCTCTCCATCTTCTGTCCTCTTATCCGTTTGTCCAACCATTCAATCCTCTCCATCCGTTTAGTGATTTCACAGATGTATTGAAGACATGACATCATCCTGCATCAACTGTGAGGTCTCCATTTATTCTTTATCCTCCTCAGTATTCAAACCTTTCAGGCTCTTTACATGCCACAGGAAGCATTATAACCCATTCTACGCCTTCCTTCATGTGTGTCAGATCTACACATCCTTCTAAAGGTGGCTTTATCCCCTTACCAACACATCATAAATTGTTGAGGAGCCCGAGCGCCTCGGGACATCACTGTTATTTCCAGATGTCCCTAAATATTCGTACATGCTGCATTTGGAATATGACAGGGGCTGTGGCCCTGTTTGGATGTCTCTTTTTATTAAACATGATTTATTAACACCACACTTAGTGCACTGTAGAGCCCCTCAGCCCTAATGGTGTGTTACTTTATGAATGGCCATAAATGTTTCAACGGGAGAAAAATAAAATCATGAAAGGCAAGGATACCTTGTAAATCTTATTAGTGGAGCAGGGAGGGAACGACCGGGGGTATTTTTGGGGCGGCTGAGGATATTGAGTGGGTGTGTGAGAGGAAGCTCAAAATGTTCACACACACACACATACACATGCACACACGTACGCACACACACACTAGAAACCGCTTGAAGTAATCATGTTTGTCCGACCAAATTGATAACTATAAGCAGTTGATTACTATGACTGAATTAGCGACTGTATGATAGTCGTAGAAATTGAGGAAAGGTAACGGTGGTTTTTAAGATAAGGTCAATAACACATTGAGCGTTCGGTATTCATGCACACACACACACTGTTACCAACTCAGCTGAACGTTAATTTGTTTGAAATGACGCCACAACATCAACACTGATTATCACATAATGATCCAAACTTTTCTTCAATGAATAAAAAATCTTCTTCATAGCTTATTACAAAACGGTTTTCGCACTGACACACACACACACACACACACACACAAACAAACTTAAGTAATGTTTGGAGAACTGGAGGAGATGACGGGGCATGCTCGGTTTGGAATGATTCAGTTGGCAATAAGCAGCACGAATGATAGAGACACAGAAAGGAGCAGTAAATAACTGAGAGTCGGTAAAACTGTAAAATATAACTTTTTAACACTATATCCGTGATTACTATATGTGTATGTGTGTGTGTGTCTATATTACATGAAGTATAACTGAAGTTTCCATGGCAATTGAAATATATAAAGAAATAAAAGCGAAGAAATATAATCTATTGACACCTTTCTCCTACAGGTTCTAATGCAGATAGAAACTGAGTGTTCTCTGTGTGTCTGTGTGTGTGTGAGACTCTTCTGTATCTAAACAATATGGACATTGCACAGACAATGTTGCCCCATATGGCTATATTCCTTAATTCAAATTCAATTCAAAACAACTTTATTTGTCCCCAGAGGGCAATTCAATGCAGATGTTGCCTACATATGCTTCAAGTACTAATCTTACATTAATCGTCAAATGTCAAACTTGAGATGTTCTGTTTTTTTTAATTTTTCTGTCAATAGCTCACTGCCGCCACCTGAGCACTGGGTGAAACTGATTCTTTTTGCCCTGGTTTTTAAACGCTGACTCTGTAGGTGGAGCTCTCTTCGTACAGTAGAAGGTGGAGCTGCTGTCAGCCTCCACCTCTGCTCTAAACAAATGGCTTTTCCTGCTGTTTAATTACATTTAAATAGATTTAAATGAGGGGGATCTCTTTGAAAAACTTTCTTTAAACTGAGAACCTTTGAAAACAGTGACAATGAAATTAAATTTTGAAAACAAGAGTAAAAAGACAACCTGATCGCAGAATGATTCCCCTGTTGGAGGGAAAATATTCACTAAAATATGACACACACACCAACATACACACACGCACACACACACACACACACACACACACACACACACAGTGCCTATCTGAAGCTGTCAGGCTCTCTCTGAGGGCCTCGGTTTTAAGCGAGGTCCGCATCACAACTGAACACAGTGTCAACAACAAGTGAATCCAGCAGCAGAATAAAACAACAGCAACAATAACGGCAGCAGCAGTGTAAGTCATGTTGCCTCCACTTCCTCCCCTCAAGGCTCCTCATGAGAGTTGGACCAGGGAAGCTTGCACGCCTCTGCAGCTCGCCATATGTTGGAGAGCCCTTCATATTCAGTCTGCCCCCCCGCTCTCTCCTTCTCCCTCCCTCCCTCTCTCTCTCAGCGCCCCATGGGAAAATGTCACGGCTGTAATGAAGGTTAGCCTGCTTATTGAGGATTAGGAGGAGGCCCACTCCTTCTCTGTCTGTGTCTCAATTAGACCCTGGATCAATGGCATTAGGAGCCCAGATGAATAGCCGCAGAGTCATGTTCATGCTGCCTCCAAAAGTTGAGGTTGGCCAAGCAAACACATATAATGATGCAAATTTCATAAGAAATTCTGCTTGTTTTTTTGTTTTGTTTTGGGTTTTTTTACAATGAGCAACTTTAATAAGAACTAGAATGGTGCATAACTCTGCCAAGGCCCAACAGTCCTCTGAAATTCACTCAAGCTGCTGCACATTTCACACACTCATTCATTCAGTTCTCTAGATGTGCCAGATTCTTCAACATCCATACCAAAACCTAACGAGTTCTTTCCTGACCCATACAGCATACTTCAAGTTTTGTGGTAATCCGTCCATTAGTCTTAAAGTTTTTCTGCTCATTAACAATCAAACCAACAAAACAAAAGAAAATATAACTTTGTGGAGGTAATTCAATTACTGGTTGTGTTATAAAATGTATAGAGTTACTTTCCATTTACTTCCATTTGAAATTACATTAAGTAACAGCAGTTATAAGTGATGGTACTCACTCAAATGAAAAATAATAACAATATGAATGATCGTTTTGGGCAATATCTACAGTCACTTACACCACTAGAGCTAATGGTAACATACTAACATACAATTATACAACTTGCAAGACTCATTGGAGATTTTATATCAACATTTCTCCGATTCATTTGTCACATTTAATGTTATGTTCCATTTCATTTCACACATGACCTCCACTGGGGTTCAGTTGTCATATGTAAAACAGACCAGCGGTTAATTTCATAAAAAAAAACCAAAACTATTGTACCTCATATTCTGTTTCATATTCTGTGACTGTGACAGAAATATTGTGCAGCATATATTGTATAAGGGTTTATACACACACATGCACACACACACGCACACACAAACACACACATGCTGACTTCAAATGCATCTGCTACAATAAGCCTGTAGACACAAGTGTTTAAATCAGCTCCAGCTGAATTCTCTCAGACGACAAAGCTCCTCTGAGAATATATGCATGTTGTGATTTGAATGTGGAACGCAGCTCAACGTTTTATGCAGCTCACACATAAGGGGAAAAAAAGCAGCTGTCCAAATTCCAACTGTGGGTGTGTGTGTGTGTGTGTGTGTGTGTGTGTGTGTT